GTGAACTGTGGTATTTTTAGAATTTAGTACTAGTTATGGGTCAAAATGGTGAATCTTTTAGAGAAAGATGACATAGGATGAACTTTATTAATCTCACAGAGGGAAAAGCAAAGAGAGAAAGAGAGAGAAAAAAAATATTGACATCATCAGTGCATTAACATGAGGTGTAATATTGCACATTGTCTGCTTGAAGTGTGGTAACTGCATACATGTCGAACACTGGGGGTAAAAAAGTTGGGTTTGTTGGGTACAGTCCTGGTTGCACAGTCTGACAGCAGCAGGAAGAAAAGACCTGACCTTTGAACTCAGTGGGTGGAGAAGCCTGTTGCTGAAGGAGCTGCCCGGTGTCTCATCCTTTGCTTTCCCACCACCTCCGGTGTATCCAGAGCCTTCCCTCTTGACTAATTTATTTAGACTCTTCCTGTCTGCAGTCTGGTTTGAACCCCCCCTGAAAGGACTTTTTGTTTGGACTCTTTATTATTTCCTGTTTTATTTTGGAATAGGTAACGTTTATTTTATTCAGAAGTACAGAGTCATGAAACTCTACAAGCACTGACAAACCTTGGTTTTTTAACAACCTCTTTATTCTTCTCACCTACTTAATTTGATTATTGCCAGATCCTCATCAATTGTGTCCTCAAGTGATTCCATTTTCATCCAGGACTCTTCTTTCACACACGATTTTCCTGCAGATATTTTCAATATTCAAAGATTTATTTCTCTATTCTTAATCTCCACGTTTAATCTTGGAAGGATAAATGTCCCTATCCCATCCTATCCTATTCTATCCTGTCCCGTCCCGTCCCTTCCTGTCCCGTCCTGTCCCGTCCCGTCCCTTCCTGTCCCGTCCTGTCCCGTCCTGTCCCGTCCTGTCCCGTCCCGTCCTGTCCCGTCCCATTCTGTCCCGTCCCTTCCTGTCCCGTCCCGTCCCATCCCGTCCTGTCCCGTCCCATCCCGTCCTGTCCCGTTCTGTCCTGTCCTATCCTATCCTATCCTACAATCCACAACAATAGCTTGCAAAGGAAGAAGCGAGCAAATGACTCAGATCGGGATTCAGAGAGACTGGAAGACACTCTTGTGACTCTCCTACTTGCCATTTCCTCTACTAACAGCACCTGACAAGTTCCACATTAAGAAGCCATCACAGTACAATCAGAGCTGTCAGAAGCTGGAGGTGTTAAAAGTGTAGGTGTTACCAATAACCTTCAACAAGTCTAATTTGATCAAACAGGGAACAGATCCATGACTGTCGATTTGGTCTTCCACCCCTGAGGTCAAGTTTGACGACGCTGTTTGCTTTTCTATAATCAGCAGAAAAACATCATGTTCCATCAGGCAGAACAAACACGGTGAGCTCTGTGAACTTGAAGTGGGTGTAGCAAGGCCACGTTGTTGTAAAATGTTCAACCTCATTCTGCCATATGGTGGACTCGCTCCGCAGTGATGCTGCAGCTTAACTGCAAAAGGTGGCAGAACATTGGTTTGACCAAGGAGCAACTATTGTACTATGGATATCAGCAGACGTTTTGACATGTCACAGCAGGTAAAACACTTGTGCAACTACTAACATGAAGGATTGCTCAATTCCATTAAGTATCTGAGGCATGTCATGAACAGAACTGGGTCCTGGAACTGCCTCACTCAAATGGAAAGCAGCTATCGTTAATCAATCTCATTAATTACACCTGTGCTTTTCCTGCTAAGACAAGTCAATATGTCTCCCATTAAAAAAAACAAAGTTTGTTAAAACCACAGTTCCACTCTAACCTGACAGATGATACAAATGACACAAAACACTTAAAGGTCCCATATAGTCTAAAGGTAGATGTCCATGTGTTGTGTGATTATAGATCAGGTCTAGGTTCTATATTAATACTGTGAAAGTATCAAAGCCTCAGTCCACAGAGAAATGTACACAGCCTGTATTCAGCAACTGAGCCTTAAAACCAGCCGTCAGGACTTCTGGAACTTTGTGACATCACAACAAAGCAGTCACCGTTCTCAGCTATGCCCCAAGCCCCGCCCACCTGGACCCACCATCCAACCTTGCAGGATTTGGCTTCTCTGAGTGTTTTTTACCTGAAATCTACTATATTTTTATTTGATCATTCAGAAAACAGTCAGCCAATCAGAAGAGATTTTGAGAGCCTCCTCTCTTCTGATTGGCTCACCAACCTGTTGTTACTAGAGATCTAGAGAAAAGTCTGAGAGAGGAGATGTAAAACTACACTGAGATGGTTTTTGGTTCTTAAAACCAATAATATATCTTCTTATGGATCAACACTTCAAATAAAACACAAGACATATATGGGAACTTTAATCTACAGTAGCATGTAGCAACATCATTGTCTGCCCAGTCCACCTGCTGTGACACATGTGGGCAGCTGCACACAGGCTCTCTTGGGGAAGGGGTGGAAAATAGAAGGAGTGGTACCAGGTTGCAGGTTTAGGGTTATATTCCGTGTTAATATCAACCAAAGTCAATCACAGAGATGCATTTGAACTGACCACTTGCTGTGACTAAGAGTTTACAATTTTGCAGGTATTTGGTCATAAACCAAATTATTGGGGAAAAAAATTTGACTGGATAAAAAGTAAAGAGATCATATTTAAATGTATTCTGTGGGGAACATAAATGTTAGTACAGCAGTTGCAGATGGTCTTTGTTAATATGCGATTGTGAAACAATTTGACCATGACATCATCTGTCTGCAAGATACAAAATAACACATTTATTTCTCAGTTAGCCAGATTAAAAATTGTTTACCCTGAATTTCCAGATAGTGTCCATCTTTTAGTCTGCATCTTTTTACATGCAGCATGCAGATCAAAGCCTATGTTCTCATAATATTGTTGCCCTTGAAAAGCAGACAGAGTTGACTCAGAAACTAATGAGGTCATTTTGTTTTTCACATCTGTCATTCTTGGCAGGGATAAGCAGTAGGTGACTATTCCACATATGTTATGTGTTGTACATGTTGCACAATGTGACTAAAATCCATAAAAACAACAGTCTGACCGCTGTCTGTCATCATGAGCTCACTGCTGGAAAATAGTCAAGACATTAATACATGACCAAGATTTTCAACTGACCCCAACTTAAATCAAAGAATGACAAACAAACAGTCTGGAATTTGGATTAATGACTTAAATTTCTAGTAAGCCACACAAATCCCCAAAGTATTACCCACTGCTGGACAAAAAGGTGAAGTATTCAGAGTGGATACTCTGTAACATATCAGTGGGTGCATACCACAAAACAAGAAAGGCCTTTAAGCAACAAGTGATGTCCAGGAGTAAAGAAGGTGCCTTCAGATGTGGTTGAGATGACAAATGAAAGAATACCTGAATAAATGAGTGCAGAAATATAATGAATGCAGATGCTTCCATACAGGGTATAAGGACTCATTGAATGGTTTGGTGAGTATGAGGAAGATGTGAATCATAAGCTATGGGCTTTACAGAGATGTGTTAGACGGGGCATTTCACCTCATTCCAGCAAATGAGGCTCACAATGGTACAACACAATACCAAAGACCCTCTAGGTTGGGTTTTCCTCTAATGCATGTGTGTGTAGGTTACACGAAGCTAAAGTTTAAACTTGGAGCTACTTTAAATGTTAGCTTCTCAGAATCCTAGAATTTGAACCCTGGTCCTGCAAGCATGGCTAATTTCCATGCTACTGCTCTGTTGAGCTCTAAAGAGCATAAGGCATGTGATTTGTTTTTTTTTTCACATTCTCAGCTCTCTGTGAGGCGCGCTCATGATTTGACACATGGCCACTAGGTGGCACCAGTGAATTTAGTTGGTGATAAGCCAAGTCCAGCTCCTCTCTCTGTTCATGTTGAGGCTAGTAGCATATTTGGAAAAGCAAGTGTATGACCAAGGGGTTGCTGGTTGAATTCCCTGGATGGAATGAGATTCTGCAGGAACCAATGAATTAAACCTGAATTACAGTTCACTGTCCAAGTAGTTTCTTACTGTACAATGAAAATGTGAAACTTTCAGTAGTGTGCTGCTATATCTAAGTGATGGAAATATACAAACATGAAACCAACTTAAAACTGTCTTACCTTGTAAATCTTAGAAATGAAAGGCAAATTCACCCTCAACATGCATCATAATCTAATACTTCTACAGTACTTTGTAATGCAATAACTTCAATCTGAGTCATCCATGCAGGAAACCAAAGCAGCCTGTAGTCAGCCCAAAAGGAAATCCCAGCTAATCTCATGTCTGTATCATTGTTAAAGGACTGAAGTACAGTACAATGAAATCACTCAACAATATCATGTATTACACACTCGATAAAATAAGAATTTTGAACAACATATGATGTCAATTTAATTGAGGGGGGCACACTGCTCAGGTAGGTTGCAAGAGAATAATCGTTTGGATGAGGCCCAATCTTTTGAGTTTCATTAGTGCCAAGAACTTAATAATTCTATTAGCCTTCCATTAGAGGACCAAATTGTCCCTCTTTATTTGGGGTACAACAAAAAACAAAACAAAACAAAAAAACAACTAACAAAAAATTTAGCCTGACTTTTTTTTTAAGGAAGCAAACTATTGGAAAACAATTAGCCTACAATACGTTACATATTAAATGTTTCTCCTTTTTGAATTATTTTTTATTATATGTTGTATTTTTTAACATGACAAAATGGTGATTCTTAGGGCAGATATATCATTAAGGAATAAAATAAATAAATGAATACTAATTTGACTCACCAGAGTATATGTATTATTGATTCACTTATGTTTTATGTTTTAGACTACTTTTATATAATATTTGCCCAATCACGCAGTTGAAATATGAAGTATAATATGTATTTTTATTTTTTTTATTTTGACAGATTAAAAAAATGCTTGCTTTACAAGGGATGGGTGTGAACCAATAGGAGATGAGTCCGGTGTCATACGTCAGACGTACGAGGCGCGTCTGCACCTAGTAAGCAGAGTTGACTGTAGCGCTGGAGCTCCATCGAAAGTGGCTCCCTGGTTCAGAGACAGTGCAGGCGGCCGAGGGGGCGGACCGGCGAGAGGAAACTTGACAGAGAACAACAGCAGTCACTCCGCTGACCTCCACAAAACTGTTGTTAATCATCAGCGTTGATATTTCTGAAGACAGTCAACTGTGCTCGAATACAAACGCGCTAGGGGGAGCGGCGGAGGAGCGCCCGGCGAAGGAATAACGTTAGCAGGAAAACGGAGAGAGAAAAGTGAGGTGAAGGCACGTTTGAGGAGAAGAAGAAGAGGAGAAGGCGGGTAGCGACAAGTAAACGGACTCAGCCACAGATAGGACACAGCCACAGGTAGACACACGTTAGCTGTCGTGGCAAGAAGAATCAAAGTGCAGGCGGGTCATGCGGATTTCTCCGGTCGCTGCTCGGAGCGCCGCGTCGAAGCAGTAAAAGGTGGGGTGAGAGGAGAAGAAGAAGAAAACAGAAGAACCAGACCGCTTCTCTGCCGCTCCGTCAGTCCGTCCAAAGCGGGCTCCCGACCAGAGGGGAAGAGCCACCATGTCCCGGAGAAAACAGAGCAAACCCCGGCAGATAAAACGTAAGCATGAAACAAGTTCATTACTTGATGTTGTTTTGTTGTGAGCATGTAGCTCGTGTGCGGTGTGCCACACGCACCCAGAGAAGAAGCCGCACGTTCAGAGCGGCGCTTCTGTTGAATTGTGCGTTCACCATAAAGTTAATAACTAGTATGAAACCTAACCGACTGTTACCACAGTAGTTTTATGACGCCGCTTTTATGTTTAAACATCGTTTAAACACAAGCCAGACCTACACACGAGACTCTGTTGCGCACTTGATAATATCATCCAATTGAACCTCACAAATTAAATAGATTTCAGCTCCAGTATTTTGCTCAAAATTAAGCAGTAATGTAGCCTTGGTTTGCACTTTTTCTTTCTTCTTTCAAAATTATTAAAGCGTCACTTTGGCACCCACTCTATCAAGACTGTGAAAGAATATTAGAAAAGTTTTCATTCAGCCTTGTACCCTGCAAAGAATGCTTTTGTCCATTGGCAGCTAAAAACTGTAGCCGTGGCTTCCTGTTTAATTCTGTTGTGGAAACGTCAGTGTTCTCTGAAAAAGCCGATGTGAACAGAGATAAAGCAGCGATCCGATGTGAGCTCAGATAAAGATTAAAATTGGATCCTTTTTATTTGTTTTCTGTCTGAGCCAGCGCCGAGGCCGCCGTTGCATTTTTCCCTCTGGCTTTTCACTTCTCTTTTCCAGAGATGGGGCGTCAGATAGGCCGCCTGGCTGATCTCTTCTGCTGATAGCTGCTTACAATTGGATCTTTTTTTTCATCTATCCTTTTAACTCAATAATGCATCTTAGGAGCCGCTTGACAGGCCTTTTTCTTGGTCTGGCGCTTGGCTGGTCTCCGTGCTTGACGAGTTGTTCCTGTTTATAAAACGTGTGAACGCTTATCGCAGGTGACTGATGTTCAAAGTTTATATAAAAGCATATTAATGATGTTGTGATTAACCCGTGCCTGTGCTTTTGAGGCCTGTTTCACACGCTGATGAGGAGTCTCAGTCTGAATTTAATGTAATTATAGTGGAGATTAGAGATTAAAGAAAAAGTGTGGATGTAGGCCTACAGTATCTGTTTGGAAGCCACAGCTGGAATGGAAACCATGACATCAGCAGAATAGTTTGTTTGGTAAGTTATCACATTGAGCAAATAATAATATCTTGTCATCAGTGATTGTGTCATCGTGTTCCGAGAAACCCAGTGTCTAACAGCAACATTTGGAAATCTAGGCTCTATGGTATCATATTATTTCAATACAGTTGTATATAATATAAGGATATAATATTAGGTTGATGCTTGAGTTGACATTTCTGAACAAATAACCACATTTAGTGCCTGCCTCTGTTGACAGCAGGTGTGTTTACGCTTTGATTTTTAAATCTCAAAAGATAAACCAAGGAAAGAATCACTTTCTGTGAAATTTTGAAATGAATACATCTAATGGCAGAGATCACCTTTTCTCTCATGGTGGAATGCAAACCTCACCTGTGAGTAGTGTTTATTTGTGTTACGCATCATTAAGTTGCGGTGCTATCTGCAAACTAAGGGTTAAAAACGAATTTTTATCATTTGAAAAATATTTTTTTTCTCTAAGTCAGATTTTGAAGAAGTGAAACTTCGCAATAACATATTTAAAAAAAAAAAAAAAAAATCATACATGATTAACAAAGTCTTGATTAAGGCTTTTGGAGGTGACAGACATATAATTAACAATAATTCAGTGAAAATAAAAGTTTTGGTTTATTGTCTGGTTCTCTGTATGCTGGTGTTTGTACGATATGTACTATAGAAGAAGACACATCACTCTGTAACAGAATGAAGAGTTGTCTCGGCTGTCTCTTTCTGCTTCTCAAAAACTCCATCAGAGTGGTAGATCCACTTGACTTAAATGTTCTCAGTCACTTGTCTCAATTCAGTATCAGGTAGTTAGCTAGCAGGTAGCTCAGTAGATATTGAGCGTGAATACCATACAGTTTTCACACACGTGTGTGAAAACTGATGATTATTGTTGTTGATTATTGTTGTTTAAGCTCTCAAGTGATACCTCCAGGATCCAGAGCTGTGAAGCAGTCTGTTCTGTCAGTCTGTGAAACTGACATTAATGTTAGCTTAAAAAGCTGAAGTGCAAAACTGTCAACAGTATCATTAGGGTGTGTCAGGCCATTATCAAACATTGTCAGATGTGAGTTAGTTTAGTTAATGTCATAAAATTGCACACACACACACACACACAGTGCACTTTATTATTACCATAACTGGTCAACCATTTAGTTGATGCTAACAGATATACTGTAAATCCACTTTTAAACATCATGATCATGGAATATTATTGAGTAATGATAAGTATAGTTTATAGTTTTCTATAGAAAAAAAACAAGTTTACTTCGTCTGACACAACCACATACTTGGAGTTTGGTTTTTCAGCCCTGTAATCAGTAATATTAACTAACTAACCTGGACTAACATATGTGCTCTTAGTTGCACTGTTAAGATGATGAGGTGTTGATGCACGACTAGTGAACATAGTTAAAGTGAATGTTGGCTGCTGACTTCCTTGGTACCACTGTACTCATTGACGGGATGTGTGGTGATCAGGTGTATCTGCTGGGTTATCATTCATGAAGTTCTCTGGTGTGCTACTACAAGTAGCCTATATACATATGGTTTGTCACTTCCTGTTTTTTCATATCTGTTTCCATAGAGAGGCCTATCAGCTGTGAACTCCCAGCAGGCACCTACAGTAAAGCCAGCAGCGAGGCCTGGAGATGTATTCCAGACCCTGAGGCTGATAAACCCAGACTAGACTTAGCGTGTATGAGAGAGTGTGTGTACATGTGTGCGTCTCAGGGGTGTCATGGCCGTCTTTATCAGTGCTTCTGGTCCACCATGCTTCCCTGTACACCAGGTCCCGGCTGCTGTTGAGGCCAGCCAGGCTCTCAGCCCCGTGACTCTCTTGTGATTTGGCAGACATTTTGATAGGAAAGAGTGAGAGTGATAAGGACTTTGTTTGGCTGGGGTGTGTGGAGGTTCAGCAGAGGTGGGGGCTAGTGGTGCTACCACTACCACTGCCACCACTACTACTATAACCACTAATGCATTGTGTCCACCATGTTGTTTTTAGCGTGCTGCTTGCTGGGTGGGAATCCAGAACCGGTTCCAGTTAAGAACCAGTTGAAGAACCATTGGAAACATATTCCTCTGAGCTTCCTCTTTTTATTCCTTCTTTTATCGATGCCAGCATGGTTTTCATAGACGGGCGGCCATATACGCTCACTACGCAAGTTGTATAGGGTCCCCCAAATGAGACTCCCTGACTCCCCCTCGTGCCAAAGCGGGTATCTGTGTTTCCAACTTTGATGAGAAGATGAGGTGGAATGGTCCTTCTGTTCACCAAAAGAGAAAAATATAGTGTTCTCTCCTCTCTGAGCTTGATGTCAGCAAATAACAGTAACGTTAAGTTGATGTGCATCTCTCTCTAGTCTCTGTCTGGAAAAGATAACCATGCGTCCATATGCGCATACATACTGTATGACAGACAATATATAGTTTTTAAAATATAAGAATATATGGCTTTGTAAAAGAACAAAATGATCTAGTCTCTCTGTCAAGGTTTAGTTACAGCTCTGGACTGAAAGCAATGGACTGACATTGACTATTGATTAAATACTGAATTTAAAATGTTCATATACAGGTCAATATGGATGCACATCTCTCAGTAAATGAATGGGGCCTGATGCAGCTGATAAAATAAATAGTAAAGCTGCAGTCATAGCCTGTAGGCTTATGGTTACACTGTATAACCAAAGGTAATTGGTGGACAATGCTCTGTGTTAAATTGTACTATTTTCTTATATTATGATTCTATAGAAAATATTTTATTGAATAAATATTGTTTGTTTATACCTGTTAGTTTTTAAAGAGGACTGTAGCGGGAGCACTGGGGTGTGACTGTGGCACAAACCTGTGTAGGCCGGCTTTTCTTCCGCACAGAGAATTGATCAGGAATTGGTAAACAAGCAGAATCGATAATGGCATCGGTATCAATAAAATGTCATCAATTCCCATCCTTGATGACAAATTCCAACCAGGTCAGTGTTGTTGGGTTGAGTTTCATTATCACAGCAGGACACCTCTAACGTCCTTTTTGAAAAGGAGTCATGTGATGAAGCTAAAGCCGAGTGATGGATGTTTGTTTATTGTAATAATTAGTCGCTCTCGTCTGTGCTGTGTGTTTGGAGCAGTAACTAAGTCTGTGTTGGTGTTGATGCAAACTCAGCTCTTCTTGCAGCTGCATCACAGTTAAAACCTTCCTTTGTACAAACCCCTGTAACACAGTGAGCACCTGTGAAGCAGGTGTCAGAATTTATATAATGCTGTGAATCTTAATCTTTTAGCTGTTTGACATGAAAATTGATTTGACATGTTTCATTTGAATATAAGCCACCCAAAATAGTTTGAAACAGAGACTGTATTTTTTCTCTCACTTTATTTGCATACTTGGTGTATGCATGCTTACATTTTGGGTAAGAGCCCATGAGGTTAGAAACAGACAGGTAACTCAGTATTTATTGAAGGCTGTTTGTTTTGTTTTGTTTTGTTTTGTTTTTGAACTATTTTGGATTCAACACTATAGATCACCAAAGCTGAAATTCTGCTTCTGGAGAACAAGCTAGATGGGCTGTCACATTCACCACTAAAATTTCAATAATGTTTTGTGTGAACCCGCGTGTCAAGCAAGCTGATTGGTTGAAGAAAAAGTGTCAGAGTCGCTGTGAGAATAAAAGAAAAAGCTACAGGAAGCATCAGTCTCCGTTAAAGGAGGAGCTGTGAGTAAAATACATGTTAGTTCTTATTTGGATTTTTGAGAACGTGGTAGCTTGTGATAGAGAGGAGGCTACAGGTGCTTCCTTCAATAACCTCCAGTAGGTAAACAAATGATAAGGGCTGCGTGTTTACCAAAACGTGTCTCTGTCAAATATCAGCATGGAATGTCTGATCAGAACGGTT